AAAAAAAAAAAAGAACATTTGTCTAAAGATGATATATGAATGGTTAATAAGTATATGAAAGGATGCCTAATATCATTAGGAATTAGAGAACCCCAAATCAAAACTACAGTGAGATACCATTTTTATATTCATTGTAATGGCTAAAATTAAGAAATCATAATTATAAGTGTTGGTGAGAATATAAAGAAATTAACCTTTTCATATTACCAATGTACTATAGTTCCTCAAAATGTGAAGCATACAGTTAACATGCATCTAGAGATTCTACACCTTTGTATATATACCCAAGTGGCATAAAAACAGCTCCACACTTTTTAATAATAATAAAAAAAACAGCTCCACACAGATGCACATCAATGTTTTCAGCAACATAAATCATAATAGTCAAGACATGGAAACAATTTAAATGTCCTTCAACTGAAAAATGGGCAGGTGAAATGTGATATATAATCATGTATGACATAATGATGATCCAGCCAATGAAGGACCACATATATAATGGCGATCCCTGTATAACATAGGTGTGTAGTAGGCTATACCATATAGGCTTGTATAAGTACTCACTATAGTGTTCACATATCTACAAAATCACCTGATGACTCATTTCTCAGAATACATTCTTATCATTAAGTGACACATGACATATTCATACACCGGAATATTATTCAGCAATAAAAAGGTGCATAGTACTGGTGCATGCTATGACATGGGTGGACTTTGAAACTTTGTACTATTGAAATAAGTCAGTAACAGACATATATGATTCTACTTGTATGAGAATGCTCATAATCAGTCAATCCATGGATTGTAGGTTTAGGTTAATGATCTTTATTAGCTTCCTTTTGATTATCCTGAAGACCTTGGAGGATAGACTATATGGTTTCACAGAGAGTAGTAGGTTGGGCCAGGAAGACTTCATAGCACTGTGAACCTTGGTAGGGTAGACCATAGAAGACAGTGTGTTGACCTTACTTTTCTTATCTTTTGTGCTCTCAATCACCTTTACAAAAACTTTCCAAGCCCCTAAAACTGTGACTTCCAAGGTCATCTTTTCAAACAAATCCATGGCTAACCTTGTAGGATTAATTAACATTGATTATTGAAAATGATATGAGAAGTGAGGAACTGTGATACATAATTTTTTGTAATTTTGTTATTTTACAGATTGATCAACTGAAGCAAGAACTTTCAAAGAAGGAGTCAGAACTTCTTGCCTTACAAACAAAGCTTGAAACCCTTAGCAATCAAAACTCAGATTGCAAGCAACACATTGAAGTGCTTAAAGAGTCACTTACAGCCAAAGAACAGAGGGCTGCCATCCTTCAGACTGAGGTAAGGCACTGTTTCAGTATTCTGGGCAGCAAAGACTGACTTGGTAGAAAATGTCCTACCTGACCAGTTTTCTTTAGAAGATTCCTTATTCAATTCCTTGGGATCAGATGTGTTTTGAATATCACATGTTTAGGGGGTTTTACAAAGACCCATTACGTGAATTGTAGATTGCATAATCCCACTGGGGCTACAGAATCATCCTGTGTTTGCTTAAACATATGGGTATTTTCTGCAGGGTAAAAACCCCTCAAACTGAAGTAGGAGAAAGCAAAACTATATAAGTAGCCTCTTATGAGTATAGGGGAAAAAGACTATATAAGTAGTATCTTGTCAGATCATATCAGGTTGTGCTGCCAAAGGAGGTTATATGTTATATCTACATATTTTTCATTTTGCAGTGCTTTTTGGGTTTGGGAACCATAAATAAATAATTGAATCTCAGGTGATTTTACTTTATCAAAAATCATTAAAAGCCAGAAGCTATATAACTGTATCTACTGTGTTCTAGCACCCAGGTTTCAGACTGAGGTAAGGCACTGTTTCAGTATTTTGGTGTTTTATTTCCTTAGGAGTAGCCTCAATTTTTTTTTTTTTAAAGATTTATTTATTTGTTCATACAGAACTGGGGTATAGGCCAGAGGCTCAGGGGCGGCGAGAGGCTTCACCAGAGACATAGTGGGGAGCAGAACAGGCAGATC